AAAAAATACTATACATAATTATGTATTAGTATTGTTGTTATAAATAGATGTGTTAAAAATAAATATTAAATCCATATGTTTTCATTTGAGAATAGTCAAAGCTACAAGACAAATATCTTGAGCTCAATTTTGGGGCCAAGGATGACTCATTCACATAGCAGTTACATTACGATTTTACAATAGTTCTGTACTTGGAATGCTAACATACACATCAGCAAGCTGCCTGAGCTTTTGTTATTTTTCAGGTGCAGTACTAAAGTAAAAATCTCAAAAGACGAGGAAGTTCCCTCCCTTTCTTTTATAAACATCTATGTATATTTCTTGAATAAGGTAAAATTTACAACTGCAGTATGGTGGGCCGCGACTCGTTACGCATAAGAAAAAGTCAATGGCTATAGTTAATATGCTCTTGCGCCACCGCATGGTGCTGCTGCAGCCGTTGGCTCGTTTAGGGAACCTAATAAGTTTATAAAACCCAGTGCTATATATGGTGCGCAAGATACGCTTTAGATGACCATTACTTAGACCCTTGAAGAAAAGTACACCAACTCTTAACCATGTCAAGTGCAAAGCCAGCTAATAACATGCGCGGCCTTTGGACGAGGCCGGCATCGCGCTTGTTCTAATGTGCAGTGGTCGCGAAAAATTTTCTCAGAGCAGGTCTAAGTCCTTCCCTTCTTGGGACAGCTGTTGAAATTTTTTTTTGAAAATTCTGATAATAATGAATAACCCTAAATTAATATAGGTAAGTCGCTAGTCATTTTGTCTCCTTAATTTGTTTTGTATTTCATTTTTCAAAGTTTCACGGCTCAGCTCCTCCTTTAACAATGTATGGCTGCAACTTATCCACCGTGAGTAACTTCTTCCCTTCATCCATGAAATCTGTTCAACATAAGCAGCTTCTTTTTTCCTTAGGTAACTATTCCACCGCGAGCATCTTCAAGCTTCTAGCTCTAGCAGATTGAACCTATTTGACATACTGTATAGATAACATGCTAAATGCAAAAGAAGGAACGCATCGCAGCTGTACAAGCTTTCAAAGTCTTTCCAAGTCTATCTTTTGCGTTTGGGACAATTCACTACACATGGCGTTTGCCCCTGTTCATCAAACCGATTTATTACAGCGAGTTAAACAGATAGTTCGTCGATATGATGTACTACAATCGATTCTTTGTCATGGAAATAGTTTGAATAAGAGAACCATAGTGTTCTTTCAT